TGTGTGTGTGTGTGTTTGTGTCTGCTCAGTGGGTTGCATGAGCTTCACAGATGCTGCTTCGCGAGTGTTGCGCAATCTGCCAGAACTGGACCTCGCAGATGCAGCAGCAGCAACAACAGCAGCAACAGCAGCATCAGCAGCGAAACCTACAGATGCAGGGGATGACTGGCCAGGAGCGAAGTGGTGTGAGTGTTGGTTGCAGGTTTCGCAGGCAGAGCCTGAATAAACATGTCGTGAATGTGTGATTTCGTAGCTGGACGAAGTGGGAAAAAAGCAATAAGTGTGTGCCTTTCTGCGAGGAGGGCGTCGACATGCGCTACTGGGCGGCGCAGTGAGCCTGCTGTGCACGGTTCTGTGGATGCTGGAGTTCCTTATCACGACAGTTCTATCTGAGCACATGGTGTCCGCTCAGCGTCATGCACGTCCCACCCACTCCTGCGCGCGACCGTCCGCGTCCGCATGCTTGCTTTCGGCCGTCGCGTCCCACCCCGTCTCGTCCCGCCCTGCCGTCTTTTGCATGTTTTCTTGTGACAAGGGCTTTGAGTTTGAAGAGTTCTGATTATACCATGGCTTGGCTTGGTATGTTTCGCGGGCACATGATCTCAGTGTCCCTGTCCCACGTCCCTCGCCTGTTTCCGGATCCCGGCCCTGACCCAAAAATCAGTATGCGAGATTACATACATGACTGAGGAGCACCTCGCCTAGCGATTCAGCTCTAAATCGTGGTGCGTAGTCGCCACAGATGCCTTCAAGGCTTGCTGAAGTCTAGCGAGAGAGCTCTGAGATTTCTGAGCCGAGCGACCGATGTTGTGCACTAGCACCGTGCCTGCGCGCGATCTCCATCGATCTGACGTGTTTGCCTCTTGGAGCAGCGAAGTCTGCAAGGCCACAGGTGACATGGACGCTCCCTTTCCACATTTTCGGAATCTTTTGCAGAAGTCTGTTTGTTCGGAGGCCGGCCAGAGGCGAAAGGAAACAAGCGGGAGAGTTGCAAATGGTGGGGCTGCACGAGTACAGGTACATGGACCAGCGAGGCCAGAATGCTTATGTGCGGATCTCGGTTTGATCTCCTCTCTCCTGGACCCGATGGCTGCATGTGTCAGAAAAGACGAATCAGGCGCAAGCCTCCCAGCAAGCGGCTGTCCAGGGCGGGTGGTGTGCTTAGCACAGCGCATCTCGAGTGTCGATCTGTAGGGCAAGCAGGTCGTAGAAGGTTCCCAAGACAATCGAAGATCCATCCGATCAGTTGAATAAGCTCTGCATTGCACTCTACAGAGGTATCCAGGCCAGCAAGCCTTCAACTATGGTGCAGCTGCCGCCTATGCTCGTGGTGAGCGCATTTGAGCCTTTCGATCCCAGAGCAACAAGGCTTGTGGGTGTCTCGATGTCTTCTTCAGGCTCGGCACTGTCCGAGAGGTGCAACCGATCATTAAGCAGAGTTTGTAGAAGACTGTGATGCCACCATGTCGAGCCTGCCTTTTCAGCCAAGCTCCGTAGGTTAGCGACAGCTGCGCCTCTTTTGGCGCCAGACCAGCATCTGCTGGGTAGACTCGTAGCATTCGATGTTCGTTCCAACAGTAACGTCCTTATTGCCAGTCTTGCAAAAATACTACTTGTAGCTGCTAGAAGGCAATACTGGATCGTACGCTAAGCGAGGAATGTGTTGGGATTCTAGTGCGGAGGCTTCGCGCAAGCGTCGTCACGGCAAGTCCCACATTGTTGCAAACCGTCGCAATGTTTATGTCCCCATTCGGGCACCACGTCCAGTGCCTGAAAGTAGATCGGCCTCAGTGTAACAAGAATTTTGCTTTGGTCTCACTCGCAAAAATGGCTCTGGGTCTTGGACTTCTTGCCACGGGCATATGCTGGTCGCAAGCTGACTCGTGGCCTGCCATACTGAACTCAGCTTCATTCACCTGCTCGGCTCCCATTACAGAAATCTGCCCTTGAATTTAGTGGGCCGGCCGGGCGGCGCAAGGCGAGCTCCCTGCCACTTTCTCAGGTCATGAATCTAACCGACATGGGCGTCTTGCTTGCAGGCCGTGCAGCCATGGAGGGCCAAGGCCGGCTGCGCGCAGTGTTGCCCGACGTTGGACTGGAGTGTGTGCCAAGCTGTGACAGGTGCCGCTCCCTTTGATACCCCTCCACCGCCATCTGGCCTCGGCAACTTTAAGGGAGTGATGTTGTGCAGCGCTCTCAAGCGCTTCTGGGGCGAGATGCGACAAAAGTGCAGTCAAGGGTACGGCTGCGAGGTAATCGCCCAACGGATGAAGTCAAGGCTGTGGCCGAGGTTCCCATGCCTTTTAGGCGGGACGCACAGACTGAAAGCTTCTTCAAGCTGCTCATGAAAAGCTCTGTCCTGTTTAGGTCGGCGGTCGCCTCAAACTCGGCTCCAGTGGGCCTAAGGCCGTTGAGGTGCGCTCGGCGAATTGGCTCGGGCTCGTTAATCTCCGCGCTGTGGTGCTAGAGCATGCGGAAAGCCTTTGAGCGGACCCCATAGCCTTAAGCAACTTGCGTAGGCCCAACCGGAAGTGCTGTCTCGATGGTAGATATATAGCAATTTAGCGATTCAGTCCATGGTATTGCTTTTTATGCTGCACAAACACGTGCAAGGAACTACGAGCCGACAGTGAAGAAGAGGGGCCCTAGCGCCGCTCTTCGCAGACACGTGCAGCTGGACTCGGTTTCCTTGCAGCCTGCCTTGTGCAGAGATTTGTCACACCAATCCTCTGAGGCGATGGCTCCGGGAGTTGCAAGAGCAAATGAGGGAAGACCGCAACCAGGTCGGGGCTGTACTCGCATTCTGCAGCTACTTCGTGTGCAGCGACGTTTGACCGCAAGGTGGAGCAAGAAGAGCAGGACGAAGAAACCAAGAGGATAAAGATGAAAGCAGCCTTTGACAAGTGCGCCTGCCCTCCCGCCACGGGTAAGTCCCACGGCTCTGCTGAGAAGGCAGAGACAAGCGGTACGTGGTTTGATGAAGGAGCGACACGACAAATTGAAGGAGGACCCCACGGTAGGAGTTTGACACATTTCGGTCACGGACGTCGATGGTGATGGAGTAGACTGAGTATGTAGACCATGGAGGAGGAAGCTACAGCCAAAGCGGACAAAACGGCCAAGCCGAGTTTTGCAGCCGATGAGGGCAACGAGCCCACGAAGGCGGCTCAGCTGATGTCCCTTCCCTTCGTCACCCTCATATTAGCACACATACATGTACGTGCATGCAAGCGTAGTTCTGTGAAGGTAGTATGTAAATGTGTGCATATACATAAATACACGGAGCATAAACGGTATGAAGTTTATGTACGTGCATAGGGCGAATGAATAAATTGATGAACAAACTAGTGCATAAAGATGCACATGTGCATGTGCATATACACCTATATGCATACTACCGCAGGACGAAAGTTCGCCACACGCCTTCGAAGTCAGCACATGAGACACTAGAACCCCCTTTCCTCCGTAGACGCCTCGCACAAGATCCCACAAGCTCTCCGCCGAGAACATTATAGTAGAAAAATTCATTCCATGGAATTAACTACTCCGCCACGCTGGCCACGTAAAACGGACCTGCGGCTACTCCGCTTCTCCGTGGTATATGTTCATGGTAAGTTCATAGCATCCTCCGTATG